GTGTGTGTGTGTGTGTGTGTGTGTGTGTGTGTGTGTGTGTGTGTGTGTGTGTGTGTGTGGGAGAGGGGGCAGAATGATCACGACTGGTGCGGGAGGTGGCGGGAGGATCGACGATGTGGCGTCTCTCTCTCTCTCTCTCTCTGTGGATGGGCGAAGGAGCAGAATGATGAAAACCGATGCTGGACGTGGGGGAGGGATGGACGATGAACCGACGAGCCCTGTGCCGCGAAAGTGAATCATGCCCAGAGAGAAAAACAAACAAACAAACTGGGCAGCAGCAAGAGAGAGAGAGCGGTTGAGGGTCCCAGGAGGAAAGAGAACAATAGAGATGGTGATGATTAGGAGGACAAGGAGGGCAGTGATGGGAACGAGACTGCGGACGATCTGAAGCTGGGAGATCATCATGATGATCATCATCATCATCATCCTTGCCCACATCTCTCATTATCATCATTGTCTGTGTGTGTGTGTGTGTGTGTGTGTGTTGTGTTCATGCACGTGCCTGTAAGCTGTGCACTAACTGCGAAAATAACTCTTGTGTGCTCAGGTGTCGTGGAACGACAGAAAGCGCAAAAAAAGACATTTCGTTGTCATCGTCATCATCATCGTCATCTTTATGGCCATAGATGATAGCTCGTCATCATCATTGTCCCTGTGTGTGTGTATGTGTGTTCTATTCATGTGCGTGCCTGTGAGTTGTGGAGTGGTCACAAACATATTTTTTTTTTGCTTGCATGTCATGGCCGGACATAAAGGGCAGACAAAAAAAATGCCGGCTGACCTCTCTGAGTGGTGGCGTGACATGTGCCATATGATCAATCTCACATACCCGAACAGGTGTGTCCGCACACCGATTTGCCTTTGCCTTTGCCATGACATGCGAGATGTCCGTGTGTGTGTTGTGTGGTCTGGATCATATCAAGCGCTGGTAGACACATGGAATGAATCTGAAAGTCCAGACAGTAAGGGCCCAAAAAAAATAAACGGTCGACCTGCCGTGACACGTGGCATATGATCCTCTGCCAAATTTGAACATGCGTGTGTGGCACTGTGTGCATCCCAGTTTGCCTTTGGCAACATGAATCTGGGAGGCCACACACAAAGGGCAGGAAAAAAGACCCTGGCCATCACATGCCACGTGTCGGTGTGTGCACGCGCGACCGGATCACATAAAGTGCTAATGGAATGTGAGAGGCCTGGCAGAAAAATAAGAAGGAAAAAAAAGAACTGGTGGACCTGGCTTGACACGTGGATGATCCATCTGCCAAAGCTGAACAGGCTCGTCTGCACCCCAGTCTGCCTTTGGCATATCCGTCACATCCCACGTGTCCCTCGAGACACTTGCCGTAATGAATCTGGGAGGCCACACAGAAAGGGCGGAAAAAGAAAATGGTGGATTGACCGCCGGCTAGTGTGGTTTTGCTTTCCCGGTCCATGCTCGCGTGTTCCTCCTACTCCTCTTCTTTCCTCCTGCCCCTGCTTCCGCCATGGTGGGCCCACTTGTTATCATATAAAGCAGGGTTGCATACCTGCCGACCGCCGACCTCAACCAGTTACTCTTGTCAGGCCACAATGTGGCAGTGGCACCAGTTCAATCTAATGGAATATGAGATAATCCGACTGGACTCTGGAGTACTTTGCTGCCTAAATTTTGAAAAATTCCGGCAGCACTTCCCTACCCCGCTAGGGGTCGGGATAGTACAGCATATCATGTCTAGCTCTCCCTTAGTCAACCTCCCCAAAGGGAGTGTACCCTAGCCCATTAGTGCCTGTCCAGTGAAATGTATTGCAGCCGACCAGTAGGGCCGACCGGTCGGCGGTCAGCTGACCAGTCAGAAAACAGCCATCCACTGGTTTGTTTTCAGATCTGAGTTGGGGGCTGTACTGCACTTGCTGAC